TTTTTAATTTACTACATCATCACATAGAACAGATAAGAACATTACGGCGGTACATAGCACCTTACGATACGATCTGGGCGCGGCGGTCTCGTGTGGGACCGGCGTCTGGTCCCACACGACCGGCGCCGCACATCCCACACGCCTGTCCCTGTAACAAGCCTCGTTACAACGAAGAAACATTTGGCAGGGGAAACGAAACTCGACCATTACACTTCCCCGACGCGATCGTTACTCATGATTCCTCTGAGAGGATTTTAAGCATGTTTGAGGTTGCCTCCCAAAGAGCATTAAGTTCTTCAACTCTGCCGTTGATTTTAAAAGCACATTCTTGCAGGTTTTGAAATTGTGGTAAATGAGTCGGGTATGAACGCATCGTAAGCATGCTCTCGTTCCTATTTCATTTCCAAATAAAATATTTGGCCAGGAACAAGAACATATTAAAGTCTTGGGCTTTACATCTTTACATGAGCCAAACATTATTTTGGGGGGTAATATAGTTCAACATTCCGATATGATATGTTACCGCGCTTGAACATCATCCATATTTTGTTCCAGAAGACTTCAACTACTGGACACCGTACTAAAAAATGCAGTGCCATTTCCTGGGCTTGTTTGCAAAAAAAAAAAAATGCACTGGTCATTGTCTGTTAATTTGAACGTCTTTGAACATTTGAACATTGAACAACATTTTACTTGCTAGAAGTATTTTATGCACAAGTCGAAACCGAAACCATCTGAGATCAATATTTTTAGTACTTTACGTCAAGATTGTAAACCATTTTTTTTCCATTGAGGTGTAAAGCCTAGTTCCACCTTCCATTTTTTTCGCATTGACATGTCTCTAGTAGTTTAGTCATAACCAATTTTTTTGTAAGCCCATTTTGTGGTGCTTCCCACTGTCATCAGTCTTCAGATATTTATCTGAGTTTTTTCACTTTTTTATTTATCAAAGTCTTTATATAACACCACAAGCATACGAGACTAAACAGGTATAAACAATGGTGAAATCCTACAGGTTTTCAAAACAGCGATACGGATCCAGACAAGCGCGCAGCCGCGACTCTCGCTGTCCAACGCGACACGCTAGCGACCATCGCAGGGTCGTGTCAACCTATTGTTTTTTGTTTAATTTTAAGTAACGCGTACATGGGGAAAAGGCAATGCCGGCAAAGACGCGGAACAAAATACACATCTCTAAGTTGCATCACGCTGATGCACTGCCCACTGCTACCGCTGTAGCGTCTGGTTAGCCGTTAGCACGTGCAGAACTGATTATCGCACATGTGCTTCACCACACTACCGAAACCGAAATATTGTGATGACTCTGACTGATGTCTTGCAATATCTCGTTGTTGGCCCTGGAGGCCTCCTCAGAGCGGCAGATGTCGATTGCGTTTAGCAGTGACGGGAAAGGCCGAAGAACCAGCAGCTTGCGGCGTGTGTCTTTGTCACGGATTCCCGACATGATCCGCGTGGTGACTCGTTCATCCACACAGGAGGCACACAGCTCAGCATCCGCTGTCAGTTCCTTGATTGCAATCAAGAATGAGTCGAAAGATTCTCCTTCCTCTTTTTTCACGTGGATATTTTTCATTGCACGAAATTAACAGTACAGAAACAATAATCAACATGGTGAACAGAAACATGGCAACAAAATACATGCGTTTGCGTATCACGCAGCCTATCGCAGATTCTCCTTCCTCTTGCTGACGTTCTTCAAACTTCACACGGTCGATGGCTACATTGTGCTGAAGACGCAGAAACTGTTCAATCTTGTCCAGGGACGAGTTGACATCGTCCAGGTGGGGGCAGATGCCAACCGCGTGCAGACTGGCGGCGCGCATGTCCTCGGTGAAACAACCTCTCAGGTAGGCGAGTTGGTCTGCCTGACCAAGCGTGAAGATGCTTCCAAGGCGATAGTAATCATCCCAGGACGACCTCCATAGACGAAACCTACGAAGACTGGCAGAAGATGATAGCTTTGCAGGAGGTGCTACCGGTGGTCGCCTGACCATGTTGTCTGATTGGAGCAGTGCAGAGGCTGAAGCTGCAGGAGACGCTACAGGAGATGATGCGGCAGCAGGGGCTGGTACTAATGAAGGTGGTGTCTGGCTGCTAGCCTCGCCAGGTGCTGGGGCCGTATTCACGTCGACTTCGTAAGTCAATTTTCTTTCGTAAGTATAATTTGGTATTCACGTCGTCACTTCGTAAGTTTTTATCGACGGAGTTCACGTGATTAAAAAAAAAAATTGCTTAAGAAGTAGGTCAAACTTAAGAAAATTCTTGCGAAAATGTTTGACGTGAATACGGCCCCTGGTGTCCTCCTGGATGCCTCCACTGAGTGCCCCGAAACGGCAGGAGTCGGCGGCTCAACAGCGCCGTTGGCTTCAGCTGACCGCGTGGTGACCTCGGGTTCCACCGCTGTTGGCGCAGGCTTCCGGTCAGCTGCAATAGCCATAGAACGGTGCTCCTGTAGCTCCTGGCGAAGGAGTTCGATGTCTCGTTGATGATGCTCGTGCTGTTGCTGTAGCTGCAGTTGAAGCTGTTGCTGAAGCTGAGCTAGCCATGGTGGTGCCGAGCTGACCTCTTCTTGCTCGCTGGTATTATCCATCTTGGAACTGGAACGTAAGTTGTACGCCATGCAGTCGCTGATCTACCAGGCAGGTCCTCTGGTACTGCTTCGGCTCACTGTGGCAGGTCCGTAGATGCCGGCTGCGCCATGTGAGGTTCAGAAGCTGGAGTAGCTGGTAAAGCTGTATTGCCACCGTGCACACCAAAACAGAACTGCCCTCATATTTCGCTTCACAACTCACATTAAAACGCACTCCACTCGCAAACCAATCAGCTGACATACGAGTACATGCATCGGCAGGTGGGGTGATCAGGTCACGCCACCTACCAGGTGAGCACACCATGATGTCAGGCCGCCCGTACAGGATCGAGCCGGTAACAAGGGAGGCTGACAGGCGAGGCCCGGACCAGAACAGTGTCAAGGTCACCTGAAGGTCAGGTCAGGTCATCGACCTTTGATGACCTCGGTCCTCGAATCACTTTTTCCAGTTTTACATGTTTCTAGGCCAGTTTTTGGAGCTGAATTCGAATTTAGCAACCATTTGAACATTAACGAAGCGGTTTTGGTGCCTTCGTAACATGTTACGAAGCTGACAGAGGCGGTTGACACCTACTACGAATACCCAACAGGACCCCTACTGTACGAATACTCGACAGGACCCCTACTGGTTGACCTGACCTGACCTGACCCGACCTGGCCTAAATGCATGAAGACATCATCTGTGATCAAAACTGACATGATATTCGCAATCAGCACCCCGAAAATCACGTTAGGAGCCACACTTTACGACGTTCAACAGGTCCAGATTTTCCCGATTTTTGGGTCATTGACCTGACCTGGAAGGTCAACCAATGACCTAGGACCTTAAAATTGGGTATCATCGGCATCCTCTCATCACGGGTAACACGCCCGTTTTTTCTGCAAAGCTCTAGCTCGATCAAGAGCGAACAGCAAGGGGGAGGTCCAACGGACTCCCCCCCCCTTATCCCGCGAGTTGCTGGGGGGGCGTTACGCCGCAGGCGCGCCAAATTTTAGGTACCTGTAGGGAATTGATTGAAGTTTAATGTGACAAAGTTTCAAAAAAATCGGTCGGAAATTTTTTGAGATATCGAGGTTTTAGTGACGTCATGATTTCTGAGTTTTCGACCAAAAACGGCATGCGTTCAAAAAATCATATAAAATCACAGAATAGACATACAGACATGCCGTAAACGCCATTAGACTGCCAATACCATGATCAATCAAATGGCTATCTTCGATTATTGATTATCGTTCCGCATTTTCCATAATCTTTAACTGAAATTTGGCAATTTTTCGTGACTACTTCACGACCATGATACATGCATTTCTTAAATTGAACTTTTTGAGCCAAACACGTACACATATGATAAAATGAATGTCACCATCGTGTTCTACGCCCCAAATTACCTATAAAACATGTGTCACAGGCTGCGAATATCAGTTTTGATTTTCGGGGATATGTGCCTACCCGGTTGACCTGACCTTGACCCTGACCTATGCTTGACTGACCCCTACATGGAGCTGACACTCTTGTAGGCCTTATGTGATGGATTGCGCACCGATTTGACAGAGTTTATGACAAGAGGCGCCCATTGCGAAGTCCTGAAGTCCATGCTACTGAAAGCCCGATTTCAGGTGTTTGACCTGACCTTGACCCGACCTGTGACCTCAAAATTCAACTTAAAAGTACTCATCTGAAGCGTCTCGTCGCGCTCTTTCGTTTGCCGCCTCGTGCGTTTCGCTGTGCCTATTGGTTCTCGAGTTATCGGCTGGGGGCGTTTAACGCCCCCCCCCCCCCCCAGCAAACGGTGGGTGGCGAAATACCCCAGCAACTGCCGGGTTATACGTTCGCGGCTGGAAAAACACCAATACGAGTGTAAGTTAAGCGCTGAAAAGAATAGCTAATTAGCTGTTCTAATCAGCTATTAATCAGAAAGATAACATATTTAAGCGCTGAAGAGGCCACCAATAGTTAATTAACTATTCTCTTCAGCGCTTAGATATCTAATCTTCCTCATTTTTGTGTATTTCAATCCCTGATGACGAAGACGAGAGGTCTTTGAAACCGGTTGGATTTATTCAAATATTCTGCTCTGTGACTCAATATACGTCTTCTTGTCGATTTTAAATGTTTTTGATGCTTGTATATGTGTTGTAAATAAATGCTTCGATCTTGATGAACAACTACCCTCAGTAATTTACCCGGTCCTGACGATTCGGTGCTCGCGTGTGCGTGTGCGTGTGCGTGTGTGTGTGTGCGTGTGCGTGTGCGTGCGTGCGTGTGTGTGTGTGGGGGGGGGGGGGTGTGCGTGTGCGTGTGCTGGTGCGTGTGTGTATGTGCGCTCGTGCGTGCGTGCGTGCATGCGTGTACGTTTGCGCGTGCGGGGCTCGGGGCGGCGGTACCCACCGAACTGCTGAATGGCGCGATCGGCGCTCCACGGCAGCTCCAGGGTGATGTGCACGCGCCGGCGCTGGTTTTTAACTCGCCGGTCACTCTGCAGCGATATACCGGACGAGGCCGCCTCAGAGATGATGGCGATATCTTTCTCTCCGTCCATGAAGCGTCGCTTTTCCTCCAGGTTAAGCGTCTCGAGCGGCACATCTTGCTCGGAGCGCGACTCGTACGCTATCTGGCCGTCGTCGTGTTGGACTACCCGGCCTTTGCGACCAGTCATCTGTGAACGCAGAGTGCGACATCTGAGGCCAGTTTTACCAACAGAAAAATAGCCGCCTGGCGCAATTTTTCTATAAAAAAAAAACCGCCGACGAGTTTCACCAACCAGGGGAAAAATATCTGCCGGCGTGAAAAAAATATCAGACAGAAAAATAACCAACGAGTTTCACCAACGGCAAATGCGGCATGAGTGTTTATCTGCGCCATTATATGTAGCAAAACAGCCTAGAAATGCTAGTTTTCGGGACGGGCAGGCACCGTAAGGGAGAGTGGGGCACATTCGTTTTCAGCAGTTTATGGGAACACGAGTGACTGCACGAGCTAAAGGTAAATTATGAAAATATGTCTATCATTGCCGCTCTTCGTTCACTGTAGAAGACAACACTGTACCTGCTGTCATGCTTGATAAAAACGCAAATTTGTCATATTCGTGGGCTTTCCAAACTTTTCTCATATCATCCATTTTCGTGATCCTGACTCGGAAATGTGGTTTAACTTTTCAAAATTGGGTCCGAAGAAGCTCACTTTATTCACGGAACTGCTGCAAACTTGTTTGTTGAAAAACTGTCATTTTTTCAATAAGAAATTTTGAATTATATTAAAAATAACGTTGTGGGGCAGGTTCGTGCACGCACTGCCTAGGGGCACATTCCTGCATATTTTTTCGTTTTTGCGATTTATGACTTTATCTGTAGTAGTGACGCTCGCCTGACCAGTCTCGGCTGCTTGCGACGTCGTGACGAGTAATTCACGTGACCTTGGGGGTCAAGGAGGCGGGTCGATGGCCAGCGGTTGGCACATTCTTGTTGGCCAGCCCATTCTTTCTACATATGTTGTGCAATGTATTCTTGTGGAAAGGAATCAAGTAAAATGACCCCCTGCCAATTTCTTTTGGCAAATTTCTGGCAATGCCCGGTAATTCTCCAATTTTGCAGGGTACACGGAAGTGCCCCACCCCATGCACGAACGTGCCCCATACCTGGGGCAGTTTTGTGCAAACGTTCAGAGTTATTAAATGCCATTTTTTTTTCTAATAGAAGCGATAACTTTAGAGGATAAGTTTTAAAGAGGAAAATATCTGCAATAGTTTCTTTCCATACTACAATCAACAATTTTGCTATTGCACTAACCGACGAACAGATATATGGATTTATCCATTTTGCAAGAATGTGCCCCACTCTCCCCTACCCGAACATTCATTTATCGGACGCTCTAGCTCCGGGGATTGACCTCGTGACGTCAGGCGCGCGACCGCGGCCAGGCCGGAGGCTCTTTCGCTCACTGGACGGCGCGCCGAGCGGTCGCGACCAGCATCACCGGACCCTTAGGTGAGAGGCCATGGCGTTACAGTTTGGCAAAATGACTGTATCTGGCCATGTATTGCTACAGATCCTTTGCGATAGACAGCCGCAGGGGTGGAACTTAATATCTCTTTGGGAGGGTCCCCGCCCCCCCCCCCCCCAATGAAGACTTGAGCCCCCCAACATTTAAAGGCGCCTCTCCGGAGATCAGAATATTCCGAGCCCCCAAGATCGATGATTCGTTGGAGCCCATCAAGAGCCACCGACGCCCACTTGAATGAAAACTACAGTCGCCCCATCCAAGGTCGATGGCGCCCCTCTAGAGCACCCGGCGCCCTTCTGAAAATCACAGTCACCCCATCCGAGATCGATGGCGCCCCTCAAGAGCCACTGGCGCCCACCTCAAGGACTAAGGAGACTACAGTCGCCTAATCAAAGATCGATGGCGCCCCTCTGAATCCACTGGCGCCTTTCCAGAGCACCCGCACCTTTCTGAAATACCACAGTCGCCCGAAACTGAGATCGATGAGCCACAGCCACTCAAGCCCTCAAGATCCGCTGGCGCCCCCTTGAGATTGCAGTCGCCCCGCTTGAGACTTCCCTCGCCCCATCCAAGCCCAATGGCGATCCTCCGGAGCGTCAGGCGCCCTGCTGACGACAACTGTGACCCACCCAATGTACCGGTTGGTAGTGAGGTGTGAAACGAAGTTGTGAGGCCTGCGCCAAGAAGAAACGAATGACACGACTTCCAACTGATCTTGCGACCGAAAGAGGAAATCATACAATGTCTCGAGCTTAAAGAAGAAAAGAAGACCGGAATTATTTCAAATTCAAATTAGATTAGCTTGCATTTTTAGTTTGACTGCGATGAAGTGAGCATTTGAATTTCAATTGATTTATGGTTATTTAGCTGTATTTAATTCAGTATTTCTTTCGTTCCTTTTCGATTGGATCATGTTTAAGTATGTGCTCTGATCTTGTGTTTACATTGGTGTTTTTCCTTGTTTCAGGATGAAATTTTATAACCCTTGAAGACATTTGTTTGCTATGTTATTATATTAAATTACATCTCATTGCACATTTTATACCGCTCTTTTGTTCAATCAATACACCCAAGATCGATGGCGCCCCTCTAGAGCACCTGGCGCCCTTCTGAAGATCACAGTCGCCCCATCCGAAGTCGCTGGCGCCCCTCAAGAGCCACTGGCGCCCACCTGAACGAAGACTACAGTCGCCCCATCCAAGATGATGGCGCCCCTCTAGAGCACCTGGCGCCCTTCTGAAGATCACAGTCGCCCCATCCTAAGTCGCTGGCGCTCTCAAGGGTCACTAGCGCCCACCTATAAGGAGACTACAGTCGTCCCATCCAAGATCAATGGCGCCCCTCTGAAACCACTGGCGCCCCTCTAGAGCATCTGCGCCCTTTTGAAGATCACAGTCGCCACATCCGAGGAGATCGATGGCGTCCCTCTACAACTACTGGTGCCCCTCCAAAGCACCCACACCTTTCTGAAGATCACAATCGCCCCATCCGAGGTCGATGGGGGGGGGGGGAGGGGGCGGCAAAAGCGAAAGCAAACGAATTTTTACTGCTAGGCGTAGGTGCACATAAAAACAAATGCATAAACCAAACATGGATGCAATGTGAGCACATTGAAATTAAGGTTTTTTTGGCTACTAGTCGTTTATTGTTAGTCGTTTAGTCGTTTAATGTCGTTAAAGCTTAAAATCATGTGAACACATTGATATGCCCGATTACCTGTGCTGTTCTCACGTGTTTATTTTGTTAACCTGATACCATTTTTTTTTCGCTTAGCAATGCGTTACATTTCACGGGTTTTCAGGCGACCTTACTCAGTGTCCCGCATATTCTCCTTTAGGTACCAGTCTGTTGTTAAGTGCACATCTAATCCTTGGTCCGACGCCTGAACACAGTCCTCATATCCCTATACAAAATAAAATCCGTCATTTCCTCTCCCCCAACATTCTCAAAATCCTAGTCCTTGCCCACGTTTTCCCCCACCTCCAGTACTGTTCGTCAGTCTGGGGTGGTGCTCCTAACTGCCGTCTTGACCGGGTGCAAAAAGTCATCCATTTTGCAGCTCGGCTGGTCACAGGTCTCCGCCGATACGACCATGTCGGCCCCGCTCTCGCCGCGCTCGGCTGGCCGGACATTCGGGAGATGATCGCTCGTCGTGACGCGCTGAACGTATATCGCGCTCTCCACGTTGTTTCCGCGCCCGGCCCCCTGCGTGCGATGTTTCGCCCTCGTGCCGCCGTATCGGAGCGCGAAACGCGCAGCGCTGCCGCGGGGTGTCGGTGCTGGAGCTGCCCCGCTATCGGCTCACCATGGCGAGGCGGCTCTTCCCATACAGGGCCGCGGTATCGTGGAATGAGCTTCCACGAGATGTGACCTCATGTCCGACTAGGCGCTCCTTGTGCGGCCATTTTAATGCCTGATTTGACATGTATAACAGATGTACGTCTTTAGTTTTTATCCTTTTTAATGTGTTTTTCTTCATTGAATTTGTATTGACTGGGCCCTAAGAGCCACTTATGGAACGGCCTTCAAAGTTCAAATATACCTTGAACCTTGAACCTTAGTGTCCTCGGGGCGTCAATCTGCTGCTTCTACCTATCGTCGTCCTCACTATGCGACGTCGGACTTCTGGCTGGACGGTCAACGGTGTGCGGCGAGAAAAGCTCCTAATCGTAATGAAGCAGGCTTCCATCCTGGGTGATCGTAAGCTCAGTTTGGTGGTCTGTCTCCGGGGACGGGAAAGACTGGTGTGGGCTACCAGAGGCCGACGTGGGTCCAGATTCCAGAAGCTGGCAATGGCCATCAGAGCTCGGCACCTGACGCTCATAAGACGGCAGGGCCCATTGTAAACCGATGTGGTTCGCAAAAAATATATGCGTGCAGTCCCTCGGCATAAGGCCACGGAAGCCGCCTGCCAGCCGGCAAAGGCCCACAGGGCTGGTGGTTTGGGCCACTCAATAATCCAGGTAGGGGAGACCAGGGAGGTATGGGCCCCCTGGAGGTAAGGGCCATCGCAGTTTTGAAGAAATGTTGCATATTTTTACACATTTGACCGCGTAAACTGGTAGCAGCCATTCCGTTATACAACCCACGTGATGTTCAAAATCTTCCTCAGTCTTCTTTGGCAATGAGCGGCGATAAAGCGTTTTTGCCCTCTTCGAGTAAAATACTGTACATAAATAAAATTTGTGATAAATTTGATCCAGACTCGTTTCATGATCTGTCAGACCAATGCTAACATTAACCCGGCAGTTGCTGGGGTATTCCGCCACCCACCGTTTGCTGGGGGGGGGGGGGCGTTAAACGCCCCCAGCCGATAACTCGAGAACCAATAGGCGCAGCGAAACGCACGAGGCGGCAAACGAAAGAACGGGACGAGACGCTTCAGATGAGTACTTTAAAGTTGAATTTTGAGGTCACAGGTCGGGTCAAGGTCAGGTCAAACACCTGAAATCGGGCTTTCAGTAGCATGGACTTCAGGACTTCGCAATGGGCGCCTCTCGTCATTAACTCTGTCAAAACGGTGCACAATCCATCATGTAAGGCCTACAAGAGTGTCAGTTCCATGTAGGGGTCAGTCAAGCATAGGTCAGGGTCAAGGTCAGGTCAACCGGGTAGGCACATATCCCTGAAAATCAAAACTGATATTCGCAGCCTGTG